AAAAAAGAATAGGACTAGTTTGAAAAATCCAGAATATAAGCAGATATTAATTTTATCGAATTCAGAATGAGTAGCATGCTGTGGCCTCGAAAACTCAATGAACTTGACTTGACAAACTCCAGCATTGGTTCTTTATTCTACTACTACTTGGAACAAAGTTTTAGGCTTGATAATCCAAAGTAAGAAGCAGAAAATGAGTGAAAAATGTAATTTTTATTGTCATTAATTCAAAAAAGTAGGAACTAAGAAAAAGATTTTTTTCAGGCGTTAGGAGAGAAAATTTTCATTGTATTTTGCATGAAATCTATAGTTCACAATCTCCGCCAGTTTTTAAGTATGAAACTGGAATGATATTATTTCTAATAAAAGCAAAATATAGTTTTTTTGACTGATATCATCCATCCATTTTCCAGCAAAACTGATCAACTTTGAAAATTTATATTTTTTCAACGACGTGGTTTCTAATAAAATGGAAAACAGTAGTCGATGCAGTTTTTCATTGTACATCTAACCATATATTGTTCTCACTTTAAATTAGGCAAATTTTAACTAAAAACCGACTTTGTCATCCCATATTTTATAAATATTTTTTTGTTTTATAGAAACTTCAACAAATTAAAGGTTTGAAAGAAAAACAAACAAATGGTGAAAATTTGGCAGTTGATCAAATAGAGAAAATTAAACGAGAAAATGAATTAGCTCTAGAATTAGACAATTTAAGACTTTAAAAACCGTTTTGAATTTTAATGTAAAAATCTAGTTTGGTATTGGCTTTTTCGTTTCTATTTCCAAAAACTCTTTTATTCATCTTGCATAATATGAGGTTTTTTTCTATTATGCTATTGTTATTTAATAAAGAAATAAATAAAATCAACTGTTTCTGCTTTCATTCTGAAGTTATAAAAGAAAAGTAATATGAGAAGAGCAATTTGATTAAAATTATTTTTAATCTGAGATCCGCAGATATGTAACTCATGGAAATATGGAAGAAGAATGAAATATTATTTTCTTTTGTTACTGCCGCTATGTCTGTATTATTTTTCGTGTATCTTTAGATTTTCTTTTGCGTTTTATCATACACACTCTAAATGACTAATACTGTATTAGGTGTCAATAATTCATCACAAAATGAAAATAAATCATCTGAAAATCATGAACATAAAAAACGACGGTTGTAAACTCTTCATTTTCAGAATTTAAGATGTGAAATTATTATTGATGTAATGAATTTTTTAGAGTCAAACATGTTGTGAATGAATTGGGTGATTTAACACAACATAATTTAAAACAATTGAAAGTGTTAAATCGTGATGTATTTCCTGTTGCATACAATGAAAAATTTTATAAAGATTTACTTGAAGCTGGAGAATTAGCAAAATTAGGTAAATATAAAAAAATAGTTTATTGATCAACTCATAATATTTACACTTTTATTCTAGCATGCTGTGGCCTCGAAAACTCAATGAACTTGACTTGACAAACTCCAGCATTGGTTCTTTATTCTACTACTACTTGGAACAAAGTTTTAGGCTTGATAATCCAAAGTAAGAA